CAAAGGCTGAACCCAGCCACGATTTTTTTAATTATTTTTGCACCTGCTTTTACGTTGCCTTTTGATCTGTGGTCTGCCTGACAAACCGCTGTCAACGCTGTTCAGCCGGACTGTCTGCTTGGCTGTGGTCTTGCACCTTCCAGAGCCACCTGCTCTGGTGCTTCCGTGCTCCCTGCGGACAAGGACTGCAGGGCCATCCATGCCCATCCTCTGCCGACACCGCCCAGGCCAAACTGCTGCTGCCTGCAGGGCTGCGCTCAGCACCCAGGTACGGATGGCTGGATGGAGAGGACGGGTCCTCCTGAGCATTCATCCTCTCCTCCACAGCGCTGGTGAGGCAGGACAGCAGGCACGGGATGGTGAATGTTGTTATTATTACACTGTAGGAACCTTACGCTCACAAACCCACCGCTTGTTCTTTGGATGAGTTCCATCAATAATTCTGAGAGATGGCTGAGGAGTGGGTTTGGCAAGACGACACTGATCGCTTTCTCTCCATCTAAAGTTTTTGGGGGTTTGTGGTGGTGTTTTTTTCATAATGACACACCAGGGTTGCCAGTTGCCAAGGAGCACGGCCTCAAAGGCAAGCCAGTGCTGCTCAAATTTCCAACTTTGAAAAACAAGCAGAATGTTTCATGCCTCCCTTGGGTATTACTTTCTGTGCTGAGACAGTTGTAACCTTTCCTATTTGATATCTGAGAGCATCTACTGTTTGTCTACAGACACCCAGACAAAGATGGAGATGACCAAGAAGTGTTTTCCCTTCTGATTCGGGATTAAATCTCTCAGTCACAGGTAAGCTCCACATGTGTTTATTTGCTGGGGTGAGCAGAAGGCCGGGGAGGTTGCGTTTCTCCTGCCGCCACTTCGATTGGAAGGGCTCTTCGTGCAGACGGTGGAGGCTGTTGTTGGTTTTAAATGTCTGCTGCGGGAAGGTCTGGGTAGTAGTCTGGATCAGCCCTTCTGAATTTTCCCCATTAAAAAAATAATCAGATTCGAAGAACAAATCTGTTGCAAAATCAATCACTGGAAATAAAAGGATGTGAAAAGAAGGAGGAGTTTTTATCTCTGTCAAAGTATTGTTCAAAAATGCGTTGCTTATTCATATGCTGACTACGCTGACTTGCTCAGGGATAGTCCCCGTTTCCCTGTGGTGTTCCCTGTCAGTTTAGAAACAAGACTGTCATCTCCTCCTGCCAAATTTTTTCCGTAATCTTGTAACATTAGTGAGCAATTAGCAATAACTCATAATTACAGGGTATTAACTGTCCAAAAAGCTTAGCAAGAGGGCACTCTCACTAGAACACATTATACGTACTGTACATAGTAAGAACATACGTAATTTTCAAAAACTGGTGACTGAAATGAAGTTCCATGGTTGGCTTTTAAGGAGGTCCAAATGGCCTGACTGTCAAATGTATTTAGCAGTAACTCACTGGAAAATTAAAGCAAAACCAAGAACAATAATCTACTAGCACTTGGACTCGGTTGATAAAAATAGCTTGTAAACACTAGCAGCACTTACTAATATAATGCATTTACTAATTACTAATTTCTACTAAGCACTAACAGCATTTACTAATACATATACTAATGTAATTCATACTAATGAATCCCTTGCTGTTCATTAAAAAAAAAAATAACAGTGCTTCTCCATTTTTTTTCTTAAGACTGGGACGCTTCTCTGAGGAAATGGATACGTCTTCCCAAAAATACCCCGTCAAAAAGCGAGTGAAAATTCATCCCAACACAGTAACAGTGAAATATACTTCTCATTATCCCCAGCCAGGAGAAGAGGGATATGAGGATGTTAATGAAGATACTGGAGTATTTATGGAGGATAATCCTAAGAAAAGACTACTGAACGATGGGAAAAAGAGAGAAAGGACTTCTTTTGGTACAATAGACACCAAGCGTCAGCCAGCACAACTGCCAAAACCCCACGAAATCGGGCAATCCCAGCGTTTTCCTGAAGGAAATATACTGCAGTCGAGGAAAACGTGGGTAGTCCTGTTTGGATCTGCCGTGGCTCACGGATGTGTGGCTCTAATCACCAGATTAATTTCTGATCGTTCCAAAGTGCCGTCCCTAGAGTTGATTTTCATCCGTTCGGTCTTACAGGTGCTGTCCATCACTGTCGTGTGTTACTACCACGAGCCTCCCTTTGGCCCCAAAGGCTACAGACTCCGGCTCTTCTTCTATGGGGTCTGCAACGTTATCTCTATTACCTGTGCCTATACCTCCTTCTCCATAGTTCCCCCCAGCAACGGGACCATCATGTGGAGGGCTACCACTACAGTGTTCAGTGCCGTTTTGGCTTTTCTACTCATAGATGAAGGAATGGCTTACATAGACATAATTACTGTTGTTGGCAGCGTGTTTGGCGTTTGTCTGGTCATGATCCCCAACATTGTTAAGGAGGAAAACTCTTTACTCAGCACCTGGAAGGAAGCTTTTGGCTATACCATGACTGTTATGGCAGGTTTAACCACTGCTCTCTCCATGATAGTCTACAGGTCAATCAAAGATAACATCAGCATGTGGACGGCACTGTTCACCTTTAGTTGGACGGGAACGGTGTGGGGAGCGTCCACCATGTTCTTACTCCAAGAGCCAATTGTCCCACTGGATGGAGAAACCTGGAGCTATCTCCTTGCCATCTGCCTGTGCTCCACAGCAGCCTTCCTGGGGGTCTACTATGCCCTGAGCAAGTTCCACCCCGCTCTGGTCAGCACCGTACAGCACCTGGAGATAGTCATCGCCATGGTCCTGCAGCTTGTCGTGTTGCGAATCTTCCCAGGTGCTTACGATCTCGTCGGGGGAGCGGTTATTTTGGTTAGCGTTTTTTTCCTCGCATGTTATAAACTGTCCTGGAAGAATTTAGGAAGGCAAGACTATCAGGAGATCGTGGATTCTTCCATCAAATGAACTGCAGTTTTGCCACCCGATTCTGGCTATGTGACTACGTGGAAGTAAAGTGTTTCAACTCTGTCGTGTCCTAGTGTAGTGGCCAGGTCCTCTCTCTACTGTTTCAATTCACAGCTGATGTAGCAATGTTGGTATTTCCAGACTTTCGTGACAGGTGAATTTCTTCTAGTGCATACAACCACTGACATTTTGTTGTAGGAGAAAAGGCCATTTGTCTCCAGCACATGGGGCTCTCCCCTTCCCTGGATAAGGCAATACAGAGACAGAGGGATTCACGAGTGACTCCCATTCCTGTGCACTGTGGTAGTAGGAAAACGAACAGTGAAACCATTAAAAGGGTCAACCAGAGTGTTCATAGCCCCTGTAACACTTCTTAGGTAATGTTCTAAATGAAGCAATGCTAATGATTCTGTGGTTAAAACTTGCCTTTCCTGTGTGTATAAAGAATATGTCAGTAAAGCTTTTTGTGCTTTGTGGTTAAATTTCTGTCTGAATCCATGCAGGAAGCCCAGACCTCCTGGGGGGAAAAGAGTGCCCCAAAAACGGGATCTCCAGTTGTGTCACAGCTGTGAAGGAGAGGTCCCCAAGACCTACAAGGTCCATAATAGATAAAAGACCTACCCCTGAAGCAGGGCGATACTCTTTCTATGGAACCACTTTTTCTAAACGAGGTTTCGACTATGATGCAAGGGAGGAACAAAAGGAAGAAGAGAAGATTGTGTTGGAGATAGAGGTGTGAGCAGGGCTGTAGCACTGAGCAGCCAGAACGGCGTCCGGTGACTTCAGGGCAGCGTGCCTGGCACCTGACACTTGAGTTAGAAATCAGATTTACAAAAACCCCCAAGGTTTTACGGTTCCAAACAGTATTCCTGGCCATGCTAATGAACGGCTAGTAAAGAGAAAGACGGTGTCTAAGAATCTGTGTCCATGGGCTCCATGCCAGCCAGAACCAGTGGGCGCCTCCCTGCTCCAGCGGCCTGTGCCTCTATTCTGGGATACGAGTATTTTCTGAGGGAAAAGACATCACTCAGGTTACCCCGACCAATTCAGCTTCCCCCATGGAAAACACATGTTACTTGGGAAAAAGCCACAGCAGCAGCAATCACTTTTATTCCTATGAATACCCAGGGAATCCAGGTTCCCCGACAGCAGTCAGCCCTGCTGGCAAATCTCCTAATCCGTGTGACACATGTGTCCTCCTGTGTCAGTGATCGGAGTGACCACCTGGGCCACGCAGGGCAGACATGTTTTCTCAGGCGTTGGCACAGAGTTAGGGCTGCCCCAACAACTCGTTTCCTTTAGGAGCACGTGGAGCCGGCAACAGGACCCATGTCCGCTGTAGGAAGAACAGGAGGAAGGGCAGCCGGTAACGCAAC